ACAAAATTTAAGCAGAAATGTTGAGAAAAATCACATTTTCCTCGTGACGGTGATTTGTAGTATTTTACCTAGATTTATTTTAAAAGTTGTTTAATCTAGTGTCAATTATAGTGGAAAAATAATAAGTTAAGACAAAGTAATACAACCTGCTGTGCAAAGTACAGACGGTATTGATCTTTTTGACCGCGCTATAATATCGTTAAGGATGGACCTATTGAAGTGCTCGTGAACATTTTTACGGCCAGAACCCACTTTTGCAGCGTGTAAGAGACTAAAATGTCTGTACCGCAAACCTACATATTGTGTATTTCCAAGCGGGCATTGCTGACGCATGTCACTGACCGGGTGATCCCCACCGCCCACTTCAATTACCAAACTGCCCACCTGGGGGCGTTATTGTCCATGTTGGCAAACTTTGATCTATTAGTTTATTAGGCCAAAGGTTTTCCTGTACTGTAAAAGTTTTTAAAAAGTCTAATGGTCTACTTGATTTATCACACCATGTCCCAACCTGGTCTTCGCAAACCAATTATTGAGAGATCGAAAACACTGTGATACATGTACAAGATTAAATTAACCAAATTTTTTTTCCGTTTTACTTGTTACTTTCCATCTGATAGGATATATAAATATATACATGAATACACATAAAAAATTATATATATACACAGACTTCAACATAATATGTTAAGGACCACCTTGACAGAAAACCCAGATTTTTTTATATTCTGAAAAAATAAAGACAGCAAAGAATGTTTCAACATTTGTTACTCTGAAAGTGTTAATGGATTACCAAAGCATACTGCAAAGCCTCCTAAAGGGACAAAACCATCACGTGCAGCACGGAAATCCTCGGGGAATTTTAGCCAAATTTGCTGGGTTTTTTATCGACTTGTGTGCGACACCGTTGACCTTTCTCAGTTAAAATTTCTGGTGCACGTCATAAACGGGCATACAGTCTCGAATTGTGCTCACTTTGGTGGCAATATAAGCCACCGTTTGCGCAAAATCAAGTATAGCATCAACATGCCACCAAGTGCAGGTCGACCCAGGATATATATTTGTATATGTATATCACTAACCGCGTGATTCAACCGCCTAAGTGACAACATTTTCGAAATCACTTTTTGACCCCTTAATGCAGTACATCCTTTAATACACCTTATGTTAAAATCCCGAGTTTGTAAGATTACTGCAAAGTGTTTTAATCCTTCAGTAAATCAAATCAATCGCCTTTATCACATCAGTCCCCAATTTTCACATGATTGAACCCCCCCCCCCCCCCCCCC